ACAAAAATCAGAAACTCATCAGGAGGGAGGAAGTTCTGATTTCTAGAGTTACAATGTTACAACAATGAAAATGTCCAGTTCTCAACAACAACAACAGAAATCACACAATTGTATTGACTTTGCTTCTTTGTTAGAGATCAGTTATGGGGTCTATTTCTGGGCTGTCTGTCCTGTTCCACTGATCTATTTGTCTGTTCTTTCACCAGTGCCACCTGGTCTTGACTAGGGTAGCATTAGAGTTAAGTCTTGAGTCAGGTATCTGTCCTTCAACTTTGTTCTTTTTCAGTATCGAGTTAACTATTCTGGGTCTTTTACCTATCCATATATACTTTAGAATCAGTTTGTCAATAGCCACAAAATAACTTGCTGGGATTTTGACTGGGATTACATTGAATCTATAGGTCAATTTGGGGAGAATTGACATCGTGACAATATTGAATCTTCCTATTCACAAACATGAAATATCTCTCCATTTATTTAGGTCTCTGATTTCATTCATCAGAGTTTTGTCTTTTTCCTCATATAGATCCTATTCATGTTTCGTTAGATTTGTACTATTTTATTTTGTGGTGTTAATTCAAATGGCTTTGATTTTAATTTCAAATTCCACTTGTTCATTGCTGGTATACAGGAAAGTGATTGACTTTTGTATCCTGCAGCCCTGCTAAAATACCTTTTTGGTTGCAGGAGGTGTTTGGTCTGTTCTTTCACATTTTCCACATAGATGATCATGTCATCCAATAAAAGGCAGTTTGATTTCTTTATTCCTTTTTATTCAAATTTATTCCAAATTTGTATGCCTTTTAAAAATACCTATTTTATTGATTATGCTATTACAATGGTCCCATTTCCCCCCTTTATTCCCCTCCACCCTGTACATCCCCTTCCCACCTGCATTCCTCCCCCATCTTTAGTTCATGTCCATGGGTTGTACATACAAGTTCTTGGGCTTCTCCATTTTCCATACTATTCTTACCCTCCCCCTATCTATCTTCTACCTACCATTCCTGCTACTTATTCTCTGTACCTTTTCCCCGTCTCCCCCTCCCCCACTGATAACCCTCCATGTGATCTCCATTTTTGTGGTTCTGTTCCTGTTCTAGTTGTTTGCTGAGGTTTTTCTTTGTTTGTTTGTTTGTTTTTTTAGGTTCAGTTGTTAATAGCTATGAGTTTGTTGTCATTTTACCGTTCATATTTTTTTTATCTTCTTTTTCTTAGGTAAGTCCCTTTAACATTTCAGATAATAAGGGCTTGGTGATGATGAACTCTTTACTTGACCTTATCTGAGAAGCACTTTATTTGCTCTTCCATTCTAAATGAAAGTTTTGCTGGATAGAGCAATCTGGGATGTAGGTCCTTGCCTTTCATGACTTGGAATACTTCTTCCCAGCCCCTTCTTGCCTGCAAGGTCTCTTTTGAGAAGTCAGCTGATAGCCTTATGGGAACTCCTTTGTAGGTTACTGTCTCCTTTTCCCATGCTGCTTTTAAGATTCTCTACTTATCTTTCATCTTGGCTTATGTAATAATGATGTGCCTTGGTGGTGTTCCTCCTTGGGTCCAACTTCTTTGGAACTCTGAGCTTCCTGGACTTCCTGAAGTCTGTTTCCTTTGCGAGATTGGGGAAGTTCTCCTTCATTATTTGTTCAAATAACTTTTCCATTTCTTGCTCTTACTCTGCTCCTTCTGGTACCCCTATGATTTGGATGTTGGAACACTTAAAGATGTCCTGGATATTCCTAAGCCTCTCCTCAGTTGTTGCTGTTGTTGTTTTTAATTCCTGTTTCTTCATTCTGTTCTGGTTGAATGTTTCTTTCTTCTTTCTGGTCCACACTGTTGATTTGAGTCCCAGTTTCATTCCCGTCACTGTTGGTTCCCTGTACATTTTCCTTTTTTTCACTCAGTATAGCCTTCATTTTTTTCCCTTTATTTTGCAGCCATACTCAACCATTTCTGTGAGTATCCTGATTACCAGTGTTTTGAACTGTGCATCCAATAGATTGGCTATCTATTTGTCACTGAGCTGTATTTTTTCTGGAGCTTTGATCTGTTCTTTCATTTGGGCCATGTTTTTTGGTCTCATCACACCTGTCACATAATAAGGGGCAGAGCCTTAGATGTTCACCAGGGCAGAGCAAGCCACTTCCCTGTGTTGTTTGCTATATGTGGGGGAGGGGTCCAAGGGGGAACAATGCCACTTGCTCCGCTCTCTGCTGGCTTTCAGTCACTTCCCCTGCTACCCACAATCAAATTGGGCCCTTCTGGGGCTGATTCCTGGGTGGGTGGGCTTGTATACATTCTTGGACCCTGTGGGTCTCTCCAACGAACTCTCCTGTGAGGCTGGGAGTTTCTCCCACTGCTGCCTCAACCCCAAAAGGTGTTTTCAGTCAGAGGCTTAGAGGCTTTGAGGCTTTATTTTCCCATACTGTAACCCTGGGTTGCATAGTCTGTCTCACTCCCCAGTTGTTCCTCTTGGTTTATCTGCACGCGAATCTGGGACTCCCCAGTCTGCCAGCCATAGCCTTGCCTGCCCTGGTCCTCTAGCTTCCACCTTGCCAAGAGTCCTGCCGTCTCCACCCTCCTACTAGTCTGGATGAATGTTTCTTCTTTAACCCCTTATTCCTGGATTTCCATACAGTTTGGTTTTCTGTCAGTTCTGGTTGTTATTTTTTAAATTTGTTGTTGTCCTTCTTTTGCTTGTGCTAGGAGGCACAGTGTGTCTACCTACACCTCCATCTTGGCCAGAAGTCTCCTAATTTGTATACCTTTTATAACATTTTCTTGTCTTACTGCATTACCAAGGATTTCCAGTATGATGTTAAAAAGTGGTAATGACAGGGGCGGGTCATCCTTGTCTTTTTCCTGACCTTAGTGGGAAGGCTTCAAGTTTTTCACCATTAAGTATATTGTTAACTGTAGGTTGTTTGTACTTATTCTTTATTAAGTTGATGTTCTTCCTCTATTCCCAGCTTTCTGAGTTTTCATCATGAATGGAGGTTGAATTTGTCAGGTGATTGTTCTGTATCTATAGATCTAATCATGCATTTTTAAAGCCTATTGATATAATGGGCTATATTGATTTTTGAATGTTAAAACAGCCTTGCATACCTGAGATAAATCTCACCTGTTCACAGTATATAATTATTTTTATACATTGTTTCATTCAATTTGCTAACATTTTGTTAAGAACTTTACATCTATGTTCATGAGCGATATTGGTCTTTGGTTTTCTTTTCTTGTAATATCTTTGTCTGGTTTTGGTATTAGGGTAATGCCAGCTTCACAGAATAGGTTAGGAAGTGTTCCCTTGTTGGGAACCGCCCTGTCTGGTATCAGAAGCTGTAACCCCCGCCAAGGCTAAGGCTGAGGGAACGACCTTGGATCGTAAGCCACCAAGGAGACAAAAGCTTATCTCCCTGGCAGGGGCGCTGCTTCTGCTCCTTTTACTTCACCCTGCCTGGGCCCCAATGCTTGGTCAGTTAGCCAATGATGGGTAAGATTCCCCAAGGGGGGAACAATCTAAGACAGGCACGATCACGTGGAAGGCCCCCAAGGAAGGACTTTGAGGGGCACAGCAAAAGGGGGTGATGGACTCTCGCTCCTCGGCTTTGACCATAGCCTGAGTCCTCATTGTCTGTGAGAAAATCTCCTAATCTCTTGGCTGCCTTACTTTCCTTGCTCCACCTAAGCCTGAAACAATGAGTGGTGCAGCCCTGTGCTAAGGAAGGGCAGATTCCCCGGGTGATCAGGCCTAAGAAAGAATATGTAAAATCCTGTGAAACCTGCTTTGTTTAGAATGCTCTCAATTAAATGATAAGGGTCCAAGCAAGAAGTAAGTTTGTTCCTCAAAGTTTTACAGCTCTTTAGCTATCTGACCCTGACTCAAAATAGGCCCTCAGAGTTCTTTGTTATCTATTGTTTGATCCTTACTTCCTGGCAATGATTAATGAGTTTTACCTGAATTCCTGAGTAAATGAACCCAATAAAAGCCTGCTCCAGTGAGAGAACAGGGCACTGCCCACTAGAGAGAGTGGCCATTTTGTCCCTATTTCCCCATGGGACTCAGTTGTCCCTGTGTATGTTTTTCTCATGTTTTGACGAGCATCCGCAGCCACAATGGATACTGCTGGCCTGGTATCCTCCACATTCCCTCTGCTTCTATTCTCTGAAAGAGATTTTAGGAAACTGGGGTAGGACTTCCGGTCAAAATGAAGATATAGGTAAACACAGCTCACTCCCCTCCACAACTACATCAAAATTACAACTAAACCACACAACAACTATCACTCAGAACCATCAGAAATCAAGTTGGGTGGAAGTCTGACAGCTATGGAATAAAAGAAACCACATCCATCCAGACAGGTAGGAGGGCAGAGATGAGGAAAGGCTGGTCCCACATCCACGTGTGGTGGATAAAAATTGGGGAAGGATATCTCAGGAGTGAGAAGTTCCAGTTCCACACCAGACCCCACAGGCCAGGGTTCCAGTGCCAGGAAGATAAGTCTCCATAACTTCTGGCTGCAAAAACCAGCATGGATTGAGTCAGTGAAAGAAACTGCTGGAATTCATCATTACTAAACCATCATTATATGAAATGTTAAAGGGACTTATTTAAGAAAAATATGGAAAATATGAACAATAAAATGGCAATAAATACATTATCTATCAACAATTGAATCGAAAAAACAAGCTAAGCAAATAAAAACAGAGATGAAACTATGGGTACAGAGAGTATTTTGATTGTTGCCTGATGGGAGGGGGAGGGGAGATAATGAGTGAAGAAGTGAGAGGATGTGACACGGACACTGGCCCAGTGTCCGCAGCATTATGGATGAGACAAGACAAATTCATACAGACTACGGAGTCCTGTGGAGGAAAAGGGACAGCATGGCCACTCTCAAGAGGAGAGTGCACCGACCCTTGCCTTGACAAGCTTTTATTGGCTTTCTAATAGCATATATCAAAGAAGGTTTTCATTCATTACAGTTAGGTTTGCTTTAGGTAATTACTTTTTACAGATAGCAACTGAAGGGATGTTACTGATTACTTCTTACAGATTAACAAGGGAAAAATGTTGCAAATGCAAGGGAACGATAAGAGTAACAGGTTTGGTTATACTCTGCCCTTGGGAGAATTAGCACAGACTTCAGGAAGTTACTTTAAAGATATGCAGCAAGCATTTGCTGCCTGAACTCAGGGTGAGGGAGATTTAGCAAGAGCAAGTCACAAAGCAGCCTAGGTATAATGCAGGCCTGGTTTCCCATGGGAGAACTTCTTCGAGGGCGTAGTCCTACGTGCCGACTCACTCCCCACTGGTTTTTCATGTGGGTGCTGAGCTACATTTCCATGCCTTGCGAAGTGGTTCCCTACAGGGGTGTAGAAGTTAAAATAGTTACAGAATAGCCATGGGAATGTAGAGTACAGTATAGGAAATGGAGTAGCCAAAGAACTTATACCCGTGACCTGTGGGCATGAACAATGGTATAAAGATTACCCGAGGGAGTGGGGGTGCTGGGCTGAGGGGAGCAAAGGGTGAAAAGTTGGGACAACTGTAATAGCATAATCAATAAAATGTAATTAAGAAGAAAACTAGGGTAATTCCTCCTTATATGTTTGGTAGCATTCACCAGAACATCCATCTGATCCTGTTGCTTTCTATTTTAAAAGGTTATTGTTTTTTAATAGGCATAGATCCATTCATATTATTTATTATGTGAGCTTTTGTAGTTTCTTTTTAAAAAAAATTGGTTCCTTTAATCTAGGTATCAGATTTGGGTACACAGAGGTTTATAATATTCCTTTATCATTTTTATGTCCATAGGACCTATAGTGATGTTCCCTCTTTTGTTTCTGGTATTAGACATTTACGTCCTCTTTCCTGTTTTTATTGGCCTGGCCAGAGGCCTATTGATTTTATTCCTTTTTTTTTTTTTTTCAAAGAATCAGTTTTTGGTTTCACTGATTTTCTCTACTGAATTCTTGTTTTCCATTTCATTGATTTCTGCTTCGATTTTTGTTTTCTTTTCTTTGGCTAACTTTGCTTCTTCTCCCAGTGCACAGCCCTTTTATCTGCACCTCTGTGGTCAGAAGCGGCCACCAGCACAGATCCCCCCCATTTGGAAGACCAAGTCTTTCTGGCCAACTCTGGCTTCCAGTCTTGTGCAGATTGTTTCAGGAGCACCTGCACTGCTGTCTGCTGCAGGGCTGGGCTGAGGAGTATTTGCTACTAAGCTGAGAGCGCAAATTGACCAAATTTAACCACAACTTACCCATTCAAGACTTCTCCTGGAGGTTGCGCACATCTGAGACTCCAGAGTTCCAAGTGTTGCATTGGACAGATTTTGCCACTGCGGGTGTATAGGTGGGAAGACGAGATTCCTGGTGCTTCCTCCTGTTTGGTTCATCTTCAGTATTTCTGTCTGTATTGATACATCCTCTATTTAGTGAGACATAATTCTCATGGCTTTATGTCTTTGACTATATTTAAAATAGTCAAAAGTCTTTGTCTAGTCAGTCTGACTGGGCCCAACCTTATTATTTTACGTGCCTCAGAATTTTTGTTGAAAACTGGACATTTGCATGTTATTATGCAGAAAGCCTGAAAGTCAAAATCTCCCTGCTCCCCCACCACAAGGATTTACTGCTGCTTGCTAGTTGTTTGTTTCTGTGGTGGCTTTTCTGAACTAACTCTGTAAAGTCTGTAGTCTTGGTTGTTTGTGGCAACTGAAGTCTCTGTTAACTGAGTGGTTAACTAGTGAGTCATCACAGACTTCCTTAAAAGCCTGAAACCTGAAAGAAAAAAAAAATCTCCTAGTCTACAAGAGCTCTGTATGTACCTTGGGACATGTCTGCAACACTCAGCCAGGAAGGTCAAATCTCTGTCTTAGCCCTCACTTCCTGGTTGTGCAGAGAGATGAAATCTTAGGGCTTTCTCCAAGTGGGGCTATGCTTGAAATGATTGCAAAGAGCCCTGGGCTGTGAAGCAGGAAACTTCAGTCTGAATCCTAGGTCAGTCTCAGTCAGTGGTGGGGCCTTGGATAGAAGAAACTGAGAACCAAATGGCTACCATTCTGGAACACAGTAGTGGCTGAACTGGTGTTCATTATGCATGTATTCATTCCAACAGCATAGTTCTAACCCACATTTGTCCAGAGTGATGATATCACAATCAATCAAAATTAGAAAGTATTAGCCTTTTTTCTGTTACAGAATATCTAAGTTCAAGTCCCTGTATTTCTGGCCCGGAAGTGGAGACAGTAGTTTGGAGGGTAGAGGACTTCCCTGGCTCAGGAGCCTGCAACACACAAAAATCTGGTAACCTCGGTTTTCTCTGGGAGGGGACCTCGGTGGCTGAGGGGCTCAGGTGGAAGACTTCTTTTCCCGTGCTTTGTGGCCAGATTTTGCCCTTGAGAACCCCGTGCTCCCTGTAACCTACAGAGCCCAACCTCCTACACTTGTCCCTGAAAGGCCTCTATTCTGCCGCCCCCACCTGAGCACCCATTTTTCCTGCTCCAGCCACGATGGGCTATGATGTGACATCACACCTCTGAGCCGTTGTTCCTGTTATCCCTGTTCCTATTCTCCACCTATCTTTCCTGACCCTTATGTGGAACAGCTGTTGCTTCTCCATGCCTCTTAAGTCTGTGCCAAGACCTGCCAAGTACCTGGGTCTCAAGCTGCACCAGATGGTGGCTTCTTTCAGGTGTTCACCTTCACATCCCCCACAACAGCCAGCTCTGAGCACACACAAAGTCCTTGTGGATTTGAAGGGCCCTAGCCAGCTTTACAAGTTCATCACCCACAGGAAAACATTCCATTTCTTCATTCACTTTTCTATAAATCTGATTTTCTTCATGAAACATGACACATCAAAAAAAAATCATGCAGGTTAAACCTCATGGGACACAGCCATCTATAGGAAATTTCCTGCTGAATGAGCTTAACAGCTATATTGCTACTAAAAGGGGCAAAAGATGAGAGGAGACAACACAGCAGAGTCTAAAGATGTGATTTGCTATGAAGCTGCTTCAGCCCATTTCAGAGAACTAACTTCAGAAGGTCCCAACAGGCTCAGGGAGGTGACACCAGACACCCAAAGCTCTTCTTCCAAATGTGGCATTGGTTAGAGGACAACAACCTGGTACTAACCAGAGCTGCCAAAGCAGCTGTCCTCGTAACATTTCCTAAACTCATCTGTGAAGATCTTGCCTTTCCATTTCTAGGAACAGGTTCTCAAAAAGCAAGCACCCACTTTCAAAGTGAATAGCTCTACTATTAACTGGATTGGGAACTGCAGAGGAGGTAGTGAGGACACTTTCTCCGAAGACCAGTTTCCTCAGAACATGGTGGGGTTTGCGCGTCACTGGGTGGGATGAGCGCAGACGGGATGAGCAGGGGACCATCACGGGACTTCCGTAGTGGGTCCCTCAGTGCTCCTGCACACTCGGGGCCATGGGCCTGCTCCAGGGCAAGCTCCCAGCAGCCCCACTGCTTTATGCGGAGTGCCAAGAAACTGCAGTGTGGCAAACAGTAAATGACTACCCTTCACTTTGTGCTAAGTCAACTATTTTATTCCATTTTCTAACACATAAAGGCAGAAAGCAAAGGTTTAAGGTTTTTTGGAAGTATTTTCTCTTGGTGAGAAAGTCTTCATTTTTTTTTACTTCAAGAACTGGATGGGACTGCCCACACGACCTCAGTGGGAGAACACGCTGGCGTAACTCACAGGACACCCGTATTCCAGTCTGACAAACTCGAAGGTACAAGTTTTGAGTTCTAAACTCTAAGACTGATGAGACTTACCTGCTTGGCATTGACAAGAATCACCACTATTTGCCCTTTGCCCTTAGTAACCGCCCTCCAACATCTCATCCCCAAGAGCACATACCCCGCCCCCACCCCCAGCCTGGGACTCTGAGCTCCTCTCCTGCCACAGTCAAATGACTACAGTTAGGAACGTCTGGGTCCCGGACAAGCAGAACAGGGGACATTACGTCCATAAGAGGCTCCTGTATCCCCAGAAAAGTTGCAGAAGAGAAAACTTACAGTGATGAATATTTCAACATCCACAGCACATGTATTTGGCTTTCATTTTATTTTAGTTATAAAACAATTGACAAAACACAAAGTGTAAAAAACCACACACAAACACGTTAAGTTTTCATTCCTTCTTTTGTTGCAGAAAATAAATAATGGTCACATATTCCATATGCTTGTCTATAAAAGCATTTCTAAAAATGTCATTACCTGGATTCAACAGTATAGTTTGTTTTTGTAGTTTTTTTTTTGGCTTTTCAACCGCAGGTATCATACAGTAGACCATTTCCTTTTATTATATTTTTTTAAGCACTTGAGCTCCAACAATTTTGGAAAAAGGCTGTTTGTGAGCTAAAAATTCTCATTCCAAGTTATATTTTGAGAGTTAAACTAAAAAACAATAAGGTCTTAAATTATTTTATTAAAGAGGAGAACATAGTTTTTCTTTTATAAAAATTGCTCAAAAACCTCACAAACACCCAACTGACACAAAAAGGTGGTCTATCTTCATAGGAATTACCAAGAAAGGAACAAAACAAACATGGCCCCTGGGAAATATATGAAATCAGGCATGGTCTCTCCCAGTCTTCCTCGTCACGTTTCCAGTTTGGCCCCTGGGGGTTCAAGAAAGAAGAGCTCTTCAGTCATCTAAGCCTATGTTTCTGAAAAGGTAGGACATGGACTCCCCATTGTGAATCCGACGGATGGCTTCTGAAAGGATCATGCTGATATCCACCGTTTTAATTTTGGGGCACTGGAGCTTTTGGATTTCATGTGGAATTGTATTGGTAACCACCACCTTCAAATTAACAGAGAAAAACCAACAGTGTCATGAAACCAAGTGGCTTCCTGGTGTGGTCTGAAATCTCATATATTATCAAAACTCCAAGGGCGGCCTCTCCAAATGTGACCTGAGAAGGACAGTGGGTCTACCTAACTTTCAGCAATGTTTTCACTCAATGTGAATGCTACCCTTTGTTTCTTAGGCTAACATTTGATAAACCTATACCCATCAGGACAGCTACAGGCAAAAGGACAGATAATAAAAAGTGTTGACAAGGACACAGAAAAACCAGAAGCCTCCTACGCTGCTGGTAGGCATGTAAAATGGTTCAGCTGCGTTGGAAAACAGTCTGGGGGTTCCTTAAGAGTTTAAACACATAGCTACCGTATGACCCAGAAAGTCCACTCCCAGTGAATGAAAACATATGTTCATACAAAAGCTTGTACAAGAACGTTCGTAACAGCATTATTCACAACAGTCAGAAAGTAGAAACAACTCAAATTTCCAAGAATGAAGAGATAAAAAAGTGTTCTTTCCACACAATTCAACAAAAAGAAATTAAGTACTGACACACATGCTAGCTACAACATGGATAAACGTTATACTAAGTGAAAGAAGCCAGACATAAAAGAACAATACTGCATAACTCCATTCACATAAAATGTAAATGTACAGACAGAAAGTAGATTAAGTGGTTGCCTAGGGCTGAGTGGATTGAGAAGAAATGGGATGTGACTGCTAATGGGTGTGAGGTTTCTTTCTAGGGGGATAAAACTGTTCTAAAATTGATTGTGGTAATGGCTGCACAATTCTGAGAAGGTACTAAAAATCACTGAATTATGTACTTTAAATGAATGAATTGTATAGTATGTGAATTATATCTCCATAAAGCTGTTATTTCTGGGTAACTCAATTGGTCATTCCAATGCACCAAGGTAGCGAGTTCAATCCCCAGTCAGGACACATGCAAGAATCAACTAATGTGTGTATGGTAAATGGAACAACAAATCCATGTTTCTCTCTCTCAAAAGTCACTAAATTAGAAACAAAATAAAAAGTCTCTTCCTGATAATTCTATTTTAAAAAGGCTGTTATTTTTAAAAGTTAACACTTACTAAAAATGAAAAAAAGAGAAAACAAGCACTTTTCAACAGCTACAAATGGAAAAAAATTAAAATACCCAGCCTTCTTAAAAAAAAAAAAGGGAATTATCTTTATTATTAATTATAATGCATACTCCCTAATTCCAAAATAAAGCTCAAGGAAATTTCTAATAAAGAAGTACATGCAGAAGGCAACTGTTGAAACAGAGAAAGAGAAGATCAGGAATTATTCAGAACCAGCAGCACTGGGAACATGAAAACCTAACCTAACCTAATTATTGTGACTCATCATTTGGCATTTGATCTTTCTGATACTGGGCAAGAATGGAAACATAAAAGGTTGTATTAAGTCTCATTACCTGTAAAAAGGAGAACAATTCCCACCCTCCCCACTCCAGGAAAAAAGATACCTCCCCACTGGTACCAAACAGAATTTATTTCACCATCCACTTGGAATGAACTACAGAGCTACCAGGTAGGGCGGAGCCTGCGCTGCACACACAGCGCCTCCTGGAGGGCACCACGTGGTGACCTGTGGGCTCAGTCTTTCTCACTAAATAACCACCCTCATTGGGAAATATTTTTTAAAATAACAGATTTACTGAGCTATACTTTACATATCATACGATTCACCCATTTTTTTAAAAAGGTGGACAAATAATTTTGTTTTGTGCATGTAAACCAAGTACTGCCTACTTTTTCCATCAATTTTCTCTCAAACACTGAAAACAGGATGCCTTATTCTGGGAGCAGCCCAAAATACCCATTGAAAGATTTTGGGACAGAGTTGTGTTTAATATCTCCCCCAAGAGAAGTCCTCTATGCTTTAGCCACTCCTAGTTTCACCCTTCCCCAAACCCTGGCACCCACTAATGTCCTCTCTGTAAAGATGCCTATTCTGGGCATTTCACTGAACTACTTCCAATTTTTAAAAAGGAAGAAAAAAAACAAAACGCTTCAAATCATGACTTTCCACCACCAAGCACTATCTAGTGGCTCCTGCTCTGGAAGAAGAGCATCAGCCCTCTTCCACTCCTCAATTCCTGCTGCCTAACTGGTCCACCCTGCATTACTTTTACATTGTTCCAAACTTTATAATCTACTGTGCAACGATGTTTTGTGTGTAAATCTATACGAAAAACCTTGCTTCCTAACCAGAGTGAATGCAGGAACCCGATTTGGCCATCAGTTACTCGCCCCACTTCAGTTAGGCACATCAGTGACAGGCTGCTCTCAGGGATGCCAAGACCACTCCAAGGGCGGCCTCTCCACTGAAGCGCACCTGCTGTTGGACTCACGTCTGCCTCTGCTGGGCTATGTCTTCCCTCCGAAGTCCACTCTGCTCAAAAAGGTCTGGTCCCAGCCATGTCCTCTCCACCCTCCTGTGCTCTGCTGTTTCTCAGTGGCCCACACGCAGCACTGTGAGAACCCTCCTGGTGCCATGTGGGCAGACTGGTGACAGCAGCCTGGGCCTGAAGTCTTCTCACTTTACTTAACATAGGAACTCTGTGTTGTTCATTTTGCTTCCTGGAGTGCCTGTCCTGCCATTCTGGATTCTCAGTCCATTTTGTCCAGCTGAGAGAGGAGGCTGCACTGAGCAGAGATATGGAAGTATGGCCTCTGGTCTGCACTAAGGCATCCTGACCCCATGCAAGACAATAAACACAGGGCCAGACTCATGGAGATATAATGTGAAGAGTAAAAATGTGAGACTTGGAAAAGTAAAAAGAATTTAACTAACTAAAGATTCAATACCCAGGAATCTACAGAAGACAGCACTTCTGTTTACGGGATAATAAAAATATGACTTATACAGCCGAGCCCCTGTTACCTAGCTAGTCTCTAGAACAAGGGAGGTCTAGTAAACCTGGACAGCCCCCCTCAACCACAGTGGGAGCTGCAGACACCTTAGGAAAATCGCCCCCTGGCCACCCTCTCCCAATCTCATATCACAGGCAGCTGTACTAGGGAGAGAGATGGGGCTTTGGCATCAGGCAAACTAAGGTCTGAATCCAAATGTTCAGCCTAGTTAGCTATCTGGCCTTAAGTCGCTTAACTTTTCTGGTGCACGATTTCTTGCCTCTCTAAAAGAGATGCTGAGCCCTGACCAGTGTGGCTCAGTGGGCTGGGCACTGTCCCACAGAATAAAAGATCACCCATTCAATTCCCAGTCAGGGCACATGCCTAGGTTCATGGCCAGGTCTCTGATTGGGGCTTGCAAGAAGCAACTAATCAATGCTTCTCTCCCACTTCAATGTTTCTCTCCCTTTCTTTCTCCCTCTCTTCCCTTTCTCTAAAAATAAATAAGTAAAATCTTTTAAAAAAATAAACAAGGCACTGACATGGGCTTGCAGGGCTGTGCAGGAGCTCAGGAAGGGTGTGTGCGCAATGCCAGGCAGTGCCAGCGCAGACGACATGCTCCAGTTACAAGGGTTATCAGACCCATTAACTATTACTATGGGCAGTCTTATAGTCCATGAAATGCAAATGCAGTATAACCTGAGTTTTTAACCCACTTATAACTATAAAATATCTCCTTCTCCACCTATGAGGTGCAACTACAGATCAGGAGGTACCAAAGGGGCAAGGCAGCCCACCCACAGGTTGGCTGATACCTCATCGATGGCAGACTCCTCAATCAGTCGGGGAGCATCTGAAGATAGCAAGCCGTGAGTCGCCATCACAAAGATCTTGTATGCACCTCTTTCCTTCAGGGTCTCTGCTGCAGCCAGAAAGCTGTCAACATCATCGATGATGTCATCCTGTCAAATTACAGATGCAGCAAAATACACATGAACACTTTTGCAACCAGGAAAAGGGTCTAACTTTCCACTGTGACACATGCAGATGGCACGGCCATGCCACCACTCCCGTGCTCTCCCACCAGGCCTTCCATAGCGAGCCTCCTGCACCTGTCACTCAGGGGCTGTCTTGTCTCTGCTGCACGCAATGCTGACATGGTTTCCAGCTCTACAGCCCTATGTTCAGCACTGTGCCCTCATCAGGCACATGCTCCACATACATTTGCAGAATGTTTTTTGCTTTTTTTTTTTTTAAATACATAATAAAACTGTTAGAAGATGTTTTGACTCTGGGTGGTTCTTTCCTCTTTTCTTACTAATTTCCTTATTTTCCAAATTTTCTCCATTGTGCATGTGGGAAGCATGGTTTTTACATGTTTTTATAATAGGAAAAACACTTTTAAAAAAAAACACACTATTACTTTTAATAATAAACCCAGTTCAGTAGTTTCTGGTCTATAGACACAGATTCCCCATGTGCAATAAGAGGATGAATAATATATATATAATATATAATATACCCTCTTATATATCTATCTGCCCCTGGTTCCTGGGACAGGATGCTGAAATCCTGGTATACTGCTAAGTGATACGAGCAATAGCAGCATCTTTTGTTCTAATATTCCTTCTTTGACCTCATCCCAGACACAGGATTCTAAAACCTATGTAATTTCCCAGGTGATAGAAAGGTCTTTTGTTCTAATGAGATCCTGGGTGACTCCTGGGTGGGGCTGGTCACCAGAGAGGCCAGGCTCTGATTAGAAGCTTGGGTTTCTCAGCTCCACCCCCACATCTCCTCAGAAGTGAGAGGGGCTGGAAATGGATTAATCGTCAGTCGTGCCCATGTGAGGAAGCTCCATGAAATCCCACCAGTAGGGGATCACAGGGCTTCTGGGTCAGTGAACACAACCACACACCAAGAGGGTGACACACCCCAACTCCACAGGCACAGAAGCTCCTGTGCTCAGGACTCTCCCAGACCTCATCCTGCACCTCTTCATCTGGCCGGTCATCTGTGTCCTTTATCACAACCTCTAATAAACTGGTAAATATGAGTAGGCGTTTCTCTGAGTTCTGTGAGCCGCTCTAGTAAAGTAATCCAACCGAGGACGGGGTCATGGGAACCTCTGATTTGTAGGCAAGTCGGACTAAAGTTGTGGGTAACCTATTACTTGTGAACAGCATCTGAAGTGCGGTGGGAGCAGTCTCGTGGGACTGAGCCCTCACCCTGTGGGATCTGACACTTTCTCCAGGTAGACAGTGTCTGAGTTAAAATACAGGACACCCAGCTAGCGCTGCAGAGAACTGCTTGGTATGGAGAGAAACCCCCCACACATTTGGTGACCAGAAGTGAAGTGCATCATGTGAGTAGTGAAGGGGGTGCACAGGAGGAAAAACACTTGAGTCTTTCCTTTGACACCTAGGCTACCAGTTACTTCAAGCCCCTTAGAGCATCAAATATTGTCTAGGGTTGAATAAATACTCATGTTATTTTACATACAGTGTGGAACAAAAGTAGGTTTACAGTTGTGAGTATATGAAACAGAGTTTATCCTTGTATTATTACTTATTATTACATTATTTTTCATACAAACAACTGTAAACCTACTTTTGCCATACCCTGTGTGTATGTATGTATATAAAACTCTTTCAAATATGTACTAATATTACTATTATCAAAAAATGCAGCTGGCTAAGATGGAGGCATAGGTAGACACACTGTGCCTCCTTGTACATTACAAACAAAAAAACCCCAGAAATTACAGAAAATCAAACTGTATGGAAGGCCAACAACCAAGGAGCTAAAGAAGAAACATTCATACAGACCGGTAGGAAGGGCAGAAATGGGCAGCTAGGTGGGGAGGACTCATGGCAAGGCAGCGGCTAGAGCACTGAGGCGGCTGGCGGACCCGGTGAGGCAGTGGATTGTGGACCAGGTGGTCCCACATTCTCGCACAGATAAACCAGGGGAAACAACTGGGGAGTGACACAGACCACGCAACCCAGGGTTACAGTATGGGGAAATAAAGCCTCAAACCTCTGACTGAAAACACCTGTGGGGGTTGTGGCGACAGTGGGAGAAACTCACAGACTCTCAGGAGAGTTCACTGGAGAGACCCACAGGGTCCTAGAATGTACACAAGCCCACCCACCTGGGAATTAGCACCAGAAGGGCACACTTTGCTTGTGGGTAGCTGGGATAAGTAACTGAAAGCCAACAGAGAGTGGAACAAGTGGCATTGTTCCCTCTTGGACCCCTCTCCCACATAACGCAGCCACATGGGTTGCCCCACCTTGGTGAACATTTAAGGCTCCGCCCCCTTATTATGTAACAGGTGCCCCAGACCACAAAAAAATGGCCCAAACAAAAGAACAGATCAAAGCTCCAGAAAAAAATACTACTCAGTGACAAATAGATAGCCAACCTATTGGATGCACAGTTCAAAACACTGGTAATCAGGATACTCACAGAAATGGTTGAGTATGGCTGCAAAATAAAGGGAAAAAAAAGAAAGCTATGCTAAGTGAAAAAAAGGAAAATTTACAGGGAACCAACAGTGACGGGAAGGAAACTGGGACTCAAATCAACAGTGTGGACCAGAAAGAAAGAAACATTCAACCTGAACAGAATGAAGAAACAAAAATTAAAAAAAAAAAAAAAAAAAATGAGGAGAGGCTTAGGAACATCCAGGACATCTTTAAGTATTCCAACATCCGAATCATAGGGGTGCCAGAAGGAGCAGAGTAAGAGCAAGAAATGGAAAAGTTATTTGAACAAATAATGAAGGAGAACTTTCCCAATCTCGCAAAGGAAACAGACTTCCAAAGAGTCCAAGAAGCTCAGAGAGTCCCAAAGAAGTTGGACCCAAGGAGGAACACATCAAGACACATCATTATTACATCAGCCAAGATGAAAGATAAGTAGAGAATCTTAAAAGCAGCATGGGAAAAGGAGACAGTAACCTACAAAGGAGTTCCCATAAGGCTATCAGCTGACTTCTCAAAAGAGACCTTGCAGGCAAGAAGGGGCTGAAAAGAAGTATTCCAAAGTCATAAAAGGCAAAGACCTACATCCAAGATTACTCTATGCAGCAAAGCTATTATCCTTTAGAATGGAAGAGCAGATAAAGTGCTTCTCAGATAAGGTCAAGTAAAAGGAGTTCATCATTACCAAGCCCTTATTATCTGAAATGTTAAAGGGACTTACCTAAGAAAAAGAAGATAAAAAATATGAACAGTAAAATGACAACAAACTCACAGTTATTAACAACTGAACCCAAAACAAAAACAAAAAACCCTAGGCAAACAACTAGAACAGGAACAGAACCACAGAAATGAAGATCACATGGAGGGTTATGGGGGGCAGGGAGTGGGTGGGGAGAGAGGGAAAAGGTCTAGAGAATAAGTAGCAGGAATGGTAGATAGAAGATAGAATGGGGGAGGTTAAGAATAGTTTAGGAAATGTAGAAGCCAAAGAACATATCTATGACTCATGGACATGAACTGAAGGGGAGAATGAGGATGGGAGGGGGTGTGCAGGGCGGAGGGAAATGAAGGGGGAAAATGGGGCAACTGTAATAACATAATCAATAAAATATATTAAAATATATATACACACACACTTATGTTACTTTAAAAGCACTACTGGTAAAAATGGTACAAATACTCTGAAAAGGTTTGACAGGTTCTTATAAAACTAGCAATTACCTCAAAACCCAACAACTGCACTTCTGGTTATTTATCCCAGAAAAATTACTCTGTTCCCACAAAAACCCACACACAGGTGTTTAGGGAAGTTTTATTTCTAACAGCAGAAAACTGGGAACAATCCAAACTTCCCTCACAGGTGAGTGGGTAAACAAACTATGGGCCCTACATCCATGGAATGCTGCTCAGCAAAAAAAGGATGAAATATTGATATATGAACAACTTGGGTGGGTCTCCAGGGAACTGTGCTAAGTGAAAAAATCAAACTCAAAATATTAGAGAGTGTAAATTCCATTTGAGACTTTCCTGACATCACAATATAGAGAGAGAGGACAGATTAGTGACTGCCACAGAGTTAGGGATCAGGTAAATAGGAGGTGGGTGTGGCTACAAAGGAGTAGCTTTTAACAGGGAGGAAGCTTTAAGAGGGCACAGTTCAGCCCTGGCTGGCGTAGCTCAGTGGATTGAGCGCGGCTGGGAACCGAAGTGTCCCAGGTTCGATTCCCAGCTAGGGTACATTCCTGGGTTGCAGGCCATAACCCCCAGCAACCGCACATTGATGTCTCTCTCTCTCTCTCTCCCTCTCTCTCTCTGTCTCTCTCTGTCTCTCTCTCTCTCTCTCCCCCTCCCTCTCTCTCCCTCCCTCTCCCTTTCCTCCCTAAAAAATAAATAAAAATAAAATCTTAAAAAAAAAAAAAAAAGAGGGCACAGTTCTGTATCCTGACTGCAGTGGTAGTCACCCAAAGCCACACATGTGGGAAGGCTGCATACATCTATCCCACAAACAAAACACTGGAACTACTTGAAGCAGCTCTACAGAGAGTGGCCATATGAATTTCTAGACTGTTACTGTACTACAGTGAAGCATGAATGAGGAAACTGGATAAAGAATATGCAAAATCTCCCTGTATTTTTTTTTGGTTACTTCTTATGAATTTATAATTACTTCAAAATAAAAAGTTAAAAAAGATGCAGTTGCAATAGAAAAGGGAAAACGTGTTACTGAATTTTGTTACTATAGATTCTGTTACTACAGGTTTTGCTAAGGAATAAATTAATACACAGCTATTACCCTACAGAGTAATATCAGAGATTTTCTAACAAAATTATAAGCACTGAGGCTTGGTAAATGGGTGCAACCACTTCGGGGACAATGTAGTGCCATGTAGTCAACTTGGTAATGTGTAGTTTCTGACCAAATGACTACACTTGCAGGCACCTAGAAAGTCTTGCATTTATGCAACAGAAAATAGGTGCAAGAATGTTCAAAGCAGTATTGTTTGGAAATAGAAAAAACTGTATATTCAATGCCCAGAGAACAGAGAAATAAGTTATGTAATAATTATACCATGCAGCACCATACAATGAAAAAGAATAATGTAGCACACAGAGAAATCTCAAAATGGTGAGAACAAAAACATCAAAAACATGCAAACCACAACCCTGCCAAAAATATAGTGTTTAGTGTACAGTGTACTCATGGTAGAATGTAAGGACAAGGAAGAACATCAACGACCATGTCCAGAGCAGTGACAACCTCTGGAAGAAGAAAGGAGAGAGAGAGAAACCAAAGAGTTCCAGAGCACACATGCTCTGTTCCCAAGCTGAGTAGTGAGTACCCATGTGTTCATTTTATTCTTATTTATACAATATAGGCATTAAATGTGCTCCTTGTGCACGGACTTTGTGAAGTGTGAAAGGATATGTGTCTTAAACAGTTATAATCAATTTTGTATCCTATTTTGATCACAAAACAATTTCTCACATTATGACAAACAGCTGCAAAATATTTCATTAACTAAGTAATTAGCAATTTCATAATAAACTGATGATAATAATTTTCAATTTTTGGACCAACATAAACATTTAGCACAAGGCACCAACTTCAATGAGAATTACCTGGCCCCTGGATGGCATAGCTCAGTGGATTGAGCGCGGGCTGCGAACCAGTGTCACAGGTTCGATTCCCAGTCAGGGTACATGCCTGGGTTGCAGGCCATGACCCCCAGCAACCACACATTGATGTTTCTCTCTCTCTCTCTTTCTCCCTCCCTTCCCTCTCTAAAAAATAAAAAATAAATAAAATCTTAAAAAAAAAAAAAGAATTACCTGACCATACCAGTAACCCCACACAATTAAAAAACAAGTTAGCCCTGGCTGGTGTAGCTCAGTAGATTGAATATCAGCCTTTGAACCAAGGGGTTTCAACTTGATTCCCAGCCAGGGTACATGCCTGGGTCTTGGGCCAGGTCCCCAATAGGGGGTGCTCGAGAGGCAACCACACACTGATGTTTCTCTCCCTTTCTCCTTTCCTTCCCCCTCTCTAAAAATAAATAAAATCTTAAAAAAAAAACCCCCACAAATTAACAAAATAGAATTGGCAAATAGGACAATTAATAATAAAAGAGGTTTACATACCACAATGATGGCAATCCTTCCTCCCACATCGCCGACCACTGTGATTGGAGGTTTTTCTTTAGGAATCAGCACTGGTCAGAATAAAACACATGCACAGAAGTTTCTATATTAAAATGCCAAAGCCTTTTACAAGTCAGTGTCTCACGATAAGAAGACCCAAGAAACTAGAAACATGGAGAGAACCTCCTCACTGATAAAGGGCAACCATGAAAAGCTCAGAGCTACCACCATGTACTTAGTGCAGAACTGAACTCCCCCGGAGGTCAGGAGTGAGACCAGGGAGCCACCTTCATTGCAGCTTTCAGCACTGGGATGCATGTGCTGGTCAGGCAATGACCCAAGAAAGGAAATAGAAGGAAGTAAAATTATTTCCATTAGCAAATGACATGAGCCTACATACAGGAAATACCAAAGAATCTACAAAAAAACTACCAAAGCTAATATACAAATTCACCAAAGTTGCAGGGTATAAGATCAACACTTAAAAATCAATTGTTTCTACATACCAGCAATGAACCATCTGAAGAGGAAATTTAAAAACCAACTCCATTTAAAAAGCATCAAAAAGAATAAACTACCTAGGAAGGAGGTGAAAGACTTGTACACTGAAAACTATAAAACATCGCTGAAATTAAACATAAATGGAAATACACCCACGTTTTTTACACATCAGAAAACTCAGTACAGGTAAGATGGCAGTGCTCCCCAATATGACTCAGAGGGCTGATACCAGCCCTATCAGAACCCCAACTACTTCTTTTGCAGAAATGGACAGTAAAATTCATATGGAAATGCAAGAGACCCCAAATAGCAAAAAACTTGCAAAAAGAAAGAACGAATGAATAAAGGTAGAAAACTCACACTTCCCCCACTCTGAAAACTATTACAAAACTTTATTATTTTTTATTTTTCAATTACAGTTGACATTAAGCTTTACAATCAAAACAATGTGATACTGGCATAAAGACAGAGATATACACCAATACAACAGAATTAAGAGTCTAGAAATACATTCGAACACCTATGGTTTATTGATCCCCCCCCCAGCTTTATGAGCTATAATTGGCTTATAACATTGTGTGAATTTAATGTGTACAGTCTGATGTGTTGATACATACATGTACAATGCAAAATGATTACCATAAAGAGATCAGTCAACAATTTGTGTGTGTGGTAAGAACATTTAAGATCTACTACCTTAGCAACTTTTAAGTACACAACACAGTGTTAATTACAGTCACTATGAGGTACACTGGATCCCCAGAACTTCATCTTCTAACTGGAAGTCTGTACCCTTTGACCAACACCTCCCCATTTCTTCTCTTCCTCAACTCCTGGCAACCACCATTCCACTGTTTCTGTGGGTTTGGTGGGGTTTTTTCCTTCAGACTCCACATATAAGTCGAGATCATACAATATTTGTCTCTCTCTGACTTACTTCACTGAGCATGATACCCTCTAGTTCCATCCATGTTGTCACAAATGGCAGGTTGTCCTTTTTTATGGCTGAACAATACACACATTTTCTCAATCCATTCATCCATCGGTGGACACTTAGAAGTGATTTTTCACAAGAGTGTCAGGACCATTCATTGGGGAAAGAAAATTCTTTTCAACAAATGGTGCTGCAAAGATTAAATACCCACATGCAATAGAATGAAGCTGGACTCCTACTTTATACCATATACAAAAATTAACTCAAAATGGAGCAAGGACCTAAAAATGAGAGCTCAAATTGTAGAACTCTAAGTAGAAAACCTGGGAGTAAATCTTCATGACCCCAAATTTGGCAATGGATTCTTAATTATGACACCAAAAGACAACCAACAAGTATAAGATTAAATAAAGTGAACTTCACATAATTAAAGCCTCTTTGTGCATCAGAGCACACTATCAAGAAAGTAAAAAGACAATCTACACAATGAGAAAGAATATTTGCATGCTATGTCTGATAAATCTTATCCAGAATAAATAAAGAACTCTTACAACTCAAAAATGAAAAGACAGACAACCCAATTTAAAAACTGGCAAAGGACTGGAATAAACATTTCTCCAAAAAGAATAAACTGACAATAAATGCATGAAGAGATGTTCAACGTCATTTACCATTAGGGAAATGCAAATCAAAACTACAATGAAGTACTACTTCAAACACACTAGGATGATGACTAAGAGACTAACCAGAACTTTAAGCAACATAAATCAGGAGGGTCTCCTGATTTGAAGAGCTAGGGCTTATAGAATTTTTGCACTGGATGTCATCTGTGATCACCGAAAACCCTACAGGAAGAACTCTGTTTATAGTAAAGCTCTGTGGTTCTGGTTTCCCCTTCCCTTCAATGCCTTTTCCCCTTATATAAATACCCCTCCATCTCTGCTGGCAGGCCAGAGAGTGTGCATGTGGCTTGCCATGTCTGCATGCACTGGGTTGAAACCCTTTCTCTTTCCTGAATAAATCCTTTTTGGTGATAAACACCATATGGGTATTGTTTTTCAGTCAACAATGACTGCAATAAAAGAAATCGGAAGATAAGTGTTAGTAAGGATTTGGAGAAATTAGAACCTTTGTATACTGTTGATAGGAATGCAAAATGCTATAGCTGCTATGAAAACCAGTTTGGTGGTTCCTCAAAAGTTAACTACAAAGTTACCATATGATTCAGCAATTCTAATCCCAGGTATAGACCCTGGAGAAATGAAATTATATGTCTGCAAAAAACCTGTACATGAATGCACACTGCAGCATTATTGCCAAAAGTCAGAAATGACTCAAGTACCCGTCACTGAATGAATGTATAAACAAACTGTGGCATACCCATACAATGAAATCTGCAATCAAAAGGTACATGAATCTTTGAATGAACTTCAAAGACATTAGGGTAAGTGAAAGAAACTGAACACAAAAGGTCATATATCATATGATTTTGCTTACATGAAATGCCCAAAATAGGCAAATTTATACAGACAACAAGCAGATGAGTGGTTGCCAGGGGATGGGGGAGGGAACATGGGGATTAGTGATTACTTACGGGGTAGGAGTATCCTTCTAGGGTGATGAAAAGTTTGAAACTAGATAACAATGGTACTTATGCAACACTCTGAATGTACTGAATGCCAGTGACCTGTGCATGTCAGAACAGTTAATTCTATGTTAAGTGACTTTCACTGCAATTTTATAAAACAGGTCAGTATCACTAAAGAAACAAAGTAGGGCCTGCTCTAGATCAGGACTTCTCAATCTCAGCACAATGAAATTTTGGGCAGATGATTGGCTGTGGGAACAGTCCTGCGTGTTGTGGGACCTTTTAGCAGCATCCTTGGCCTCTATTCACTAGATGCAAGTAGTGAACCCCACAACTGTGACAATAAAAAATGTCTACAGATATTTCCACATGTCTTCTAGGGGACAAAACCCATACCCCACCCCAGGCCCAGCTGAGAACCACTGTCCTAGATTAAAAGAGACTAAAGACAAATGATAACTAAATGCAGTATGTGAACTGAGGTTGGTGTGGGGAGAGTGGAGATAGAAATTTAAGGCCAAACAAAGCAAGGTAAATCCCAAAACTGAAGAACTTTTTTTCCATTTTCAACACCCTTTTCCCCAGGCACTTGACTCCAATATTGGTGAAAGAGTATAATGCTATAGGCCTTTAGGAAATCAATTTAACAAAGAGCCATATAAACAGCTACACCTTTAACTCATCAATATCATGTTTAGAAACTTATAATGAAATACACCAAAGTATGGAAAAAATTTTTATCCACGTATGCTAATTTCAGCATTACACTGGCAAAGACTGGGAAAAAACACACATACCCAATATTACCCTGCTTGAGCAGTCTAAGCCACATCCATAAGATGGGATATGACTTTTTAATGACTTGCAGAAAGGTATGCTATAAAGCTGGGAGAAGATAGCAGCATGAGCAATTACATAATCAGTATGCATCACTACTGGATGAAAACAAGAAAGGAAAAAAATGAAGAGGCCCACTAAAATATAACAGTGGTATCTCTCAATTAAAAACTGATTCAGTGAATTAAGCACTGATTAGGCTTTTAATTAAAATTAGAGTGATTAAACGTAAGAAACTATTTTAAAAAACTATTTCAGTTCAGTGTGAAAAACACTGGAATAGTAATAAAGACTACGTCCTTGACCACAGGTCAGGCTCCTATGAACCTTTTACTCAACCTGGACTAAATGGTGTGGGCTTTGTACTCAGGCTGGCAGAGCTAAGTTTTAGCAAGCACCCCTGAACTAATCTGAGCACCCAGGCCTTCATTCAGCAATTTTGTTAGGTCAGTCGAGCAAGAATTCCCCCTACCCTTCATGCCTCCCTCCTCTTAGTAATTTCCATCCACTGACCCCCTCCTCCAGCCTCCGTCTTGGCTATCAATCCCCACCTGTCCTCCTATGTTCAGAGGTAAGCCCAGTTCTATAGTGAGATCTCTTCTCCCTCAATGCAACATTTCTTAAATAGAATCTGTCTTTACAACCTTAAAAAAATGTCTTTTCTCTTGACAAAACACATTCTGGCCCTTATGCACTAAGGGTAGAAAAAGGGTTGAGTCTGTTCCCTCGCCAACAGACTCAAAGGCAGTTATTTTTTCTAAATGGAAAAGATGTTATTAAAGGCAAGTTCTTAAAAACAAACCCAATTCACCCATAAATCTTACCACCGCATCATAATGATTTCACCTTCATAGTTCTTCCTGGTCCTTGCACAAAGGCAAGTATACACTTACTCTCTGTGCATTCCACAGATTATCTCGTTTCCAGATAGCCTTAACTAATTCAAAGCACTGCATAATTAGATGTACTGATACAACATAGTTAATTAAGCCCTACCCTCTGATAAACCATTAAGAGTTTTCTAATATCTTGTAATAAAAAATAACACTACAGTGAATAACTTGTGTTCACATTAAACTACAAGATATATCACTGAATGAATGAATAAAACCCACTCAAGTGCCAAACTGAGTCTGAATAGTTGAGCACTTTCATGACTTCGCGATGATCAGGCAGAGGTTTTTGAAAGGCTCTATTCTACAGGGCCACCAGAAGTGCAGTGGTTACCACCAGGCCAGGGAAGGTATTTTGCCACATTACAAAACAAAAAAAGAAAGTCCTTCATATTTGAAAAGAAATTAAGTTAGCCTTAAAATCAAAGGGGAAAGCAAACAAGAGAGGCAGCACACTTACTGGGGATCTCTAGGCTGGGGTGGATGGCAGCCACACTCCTGACCATGGGCGGAGAATGCCGTCCATCCACCAAGTCCGACTCAGCATCTTGAGCTTCTCCGTGAATCACTGCAATGCCCAGACGAAGGCGCTCTGCAAATGACTGTGCCCTGAGGGAGAGCATGAGACAGTTCAGAAATCACACAGCCCCTGTCTTCTGTTAATGTTGATGGAAGAAACATTAAAAGAACATAAATAAAATGCAGTTTCCAAAAGATTAATGAAAAAAAAAGAATAAAATAATCTGAGAGTCTTAGATTCTAGGACAAAGTGTGGATAAACATCCCTCTGGCAACAGGTGCCCTGCATAGGCAGCAGCTGGCCCTGGTCTGCACTTAGTTGGGTGAGCTTGCATAGTTAATTAACTTCCTCTAAGCCTCAGTTTTCTCACCTGTAACTGCTAATTTTCTATTTAATAGTGAGAACAAAGCACATAAGACAAAGTACATTAAAAACTCAAAGTGTCTGGAACTATAGAACTTACAGCCAAAATGGAGGTGTAGGTAGATACGTGTTGCTTTCTCGCACAACCAAAAGAAGGACAAGAACAAATGTAAAAACAAAAAATATCTGGAACTGCCAAAAAATCAAACTATATGGAAGTCCGACAACCAAGGAGTTAAAGAAGAAACATTCACCCAGATGGGCAGGAGGAACCGAGACAGGCAGCTGGGGCAGAGAGGACAAGTGGTAAGGCAGCACTGTCAGGACAGGCAGTCCCACATTTGTGTGTGGATGAACTGGGAGGAGTAACTGGGGAGGGAGACAGACCATTCAACTCAGAGTTCCAGTGCGGAGAAATAAAACCTCAAAACCTCTGGCTATAAAAACCTGTGGGGACTGTGGTGGCGGGAGAAACTCCCAGCCTCAAAGGAGAGTCTGTTGGAGGGACCCAGGGTCCTAGAATGTACACAAGCCCACCCATCTAGGAATCAGCACCAGAAGGTACCAATGTGCTTGTGGGTAGTGGGGGAAGTGAATGAAAGCAGGGCAAAAGCTGAGCGAGTGGCATTGTTCTGCCTCTAATTTCTCCCTCACATACAGCACCACAACGCAACAAAGTGGCTTTCCCCACCCTGACAAATACCTAAGGCTCCACCCCCTATAATGTAACAGGTGCACCAAGACAAAGAAATGAGGCCCTAATGAAAAGAACAGATCAAAGCTCCAGAAAAAGAACTAAACCAGGAGGAGATAGCCATCTTATCAGATGCAAAGGTCAAAACACTGGTAAATCAGGATGCTCACAGAAATTATTGCTTACCAATGCAAAATAAAGGAAGAAGTCACGGCTATACAAAGTGAAATAAAGAATAGTCCTGGCTGGTGTGGCTCAGTGGATTGAGCACCAGCCTGTGAACCAAAGGGTCGTAGGTTTGATTTCCAGTCAGGGCACATGACTGGGTTGTGGCCTAGGTCCCCAAAAGGGGGCACATGAGAGACAACCACACACAGATGTTTCTCTTTCTTTCTTCCTCCCTTTCCCTCTCTCTAAAAATATATAAATAAAATCTTTTTTAAAAAGAATAATATACAGGGAACCAACAGTGGAGGAAAGGAAAAACCAGAACTCAAAATGAATGACTTGGAACAGAAGGAAGAAATAAACATCTAACCAGAACAGAATAAAGAAGTAATAATTCAAAAAGTGAGGAGAGGCTTAAGAACCTCTGGAACAAGTTTAAACCCCAAATCATAGGGGTGCCAGAAGAAGAGGAAGACCAAGAAATTGAAAACTTACTTGAAAAACAATGATGGAAAACTTCCTCAATCTGGTGAAGGAAATAGACATGCAAGTCCAGGAAGCTCAGAGGGTCTCAAACAAGTTGGACCCAAGGAGGAACACACCAAGACACATTATAATTAAATTACCCAAGATTAAAGATAAGGAATCTTAAAAGCAGCAAGAGATTTACCTACAAAGGAGTTCCCATAAGGCTATCAGTTGATTTCTCAAAAGAAACCTTACAGACAACAAGGGAAAAAAGTATTCGAAGTCATGAAAGGCAAGGACCTACATCCCAGATTACTCTACCCAGCAAAGCTATCATTTAGAATGGAAGCGCAGATAAAGTGCTTCCAGATAAGGTCAAGTTAAAGGAGTTCATCATCACCCAGCTCTTATATGAAATGTTAAAGGGACTTATCTAAGAAAAAGAAGATCAAAACTGTAAAGTGAAATGACAACAAAATCACAATTATCAACAACTGAACCTAAAAGTCAAAAACAAAAACAAACTAAGCAAACAACTAGAAGAGAAAAAGAATCACAGAAATGGAGATCACATGGAGGGGTTATCAGCGGGAGGGGGGAAAGTGGGTGAAAGGGTACAGGGAATAAGAAGCATAATTGATAAGCACAAAATAGAGGAGGGGAGGTTAAGAACAGTATAGGAAATGGAGAAATGAATGAACTTATATGAACCATGCCTGGACATGAACTAAGGTAGGGGTGAATGCTGGAGGGAGGGGGTGCAGGGTTGAGGGGGATAAAAGGGAGAAAAAATTGGGATAACTATAATAGCATAATTGATATTTACTTAATATACTTAAAAAACCTCAAAGTACCTTGATTGATTGATTGATTTTAGAGAGAGAGGAAGATGGGAGACAGAAAGAGAAACTTTGATTCGTTGTTCCACTTACTGATGCATTCATCAGTCGATTCTTTGTATGTGCCCTGGCTGGGGACTGAACCCCCAATCATGGTATTTTGGGACGACACTCTAACCAACTGAGCTACCCAGCCAAGGCTAAAAAGTTAAAGCATTAAACATCATTTTTTAAAAGATTTTATTTTTATTTTTAGACAGAGGGGAAGGGAAGGAGAAAGAGAGAGAGAGAGAAACATCAATGTGTAGTTGCCTCTAGTACTCCCCGTACTGGGGACCTGGCCCACAACCCAGGCATGTGCCCCAACTGGGAATCAAACCGGCAACCCTTTGGTTCGCAAGTCAGTCCTCAATCCACTGAGCCACACCAGCCAGGACTGGAGTTAATGATTTTTAACATCAATTTTTAATAACTTTATTAAGGTATAACTAAGCTACAATTAACTACACATATTTAAACTGATTTCATAAACACTAATATATGTACATATCTGTATAAACATTAGCACAACTAAGACAATAAAGCATTTATCGTGGCAAATGTTCCCTTGTACCCCTTTGTAATTTCTTCTTCAAGTAGCAGGCAACCAGTGATCTGCTTTCTGCCATCATAGATTTCATAAGTGGAATAAGAGTTCGTAGTTCTCTTTTGTCTCACTTCATTCACTCAGCATAACCCTTTGGAGATCCATCATGATTACTGTATGTCACGGGTCTTATCTTTTTACATTGCCAAGTAACAGATCATTGCATGGGTCTCTCTCTGTTTGCCCATTTACTTGTTGATGGACTTTTGAGATGTTTCTAGTTTTGAACTATTACAAAACTGCTATGAGAGCCCTGGCTGGCGTAGCTCAGTGGATTGAGCGCTGGCCTGCGAATCAAAGGGTGGCTGGTTTGATTCCCAGCCAGAGTACATGCCTGGGTTGCAGGCCATAACCCCCAGCAACCGCACATTGATGTTTCTCTCTCTCTCTGTCTATCTCCCTCCCTTCCCTCTCTAAAAATAAATAAAATCTTTAAAAAATTTTTTTTAAAAATCTACCTTTTAAAAAAAAAACTGCTATGAACATTCAAGTACAAATCTCTGTGAGAACTCACACTTTCTTTACTCTTGGGTAAATACTTATAAGTAGAATGGCTGGATAATGTTGTAGGCACATGTTTAACTCTTGAAAAAACCACCAAACTGTTTTCCAAAGTGATTATACCATCTTTCATTCCTATGAGAGTTCCCATTCCTCCACATTATCACCTGCATTTGGTGTGGTCATTTTATTAATATAACCCACTCCAACGGTGTGCAGTGGCACTTTACTGTGGTTTCAATTTGGATTTCCCTCAAGACAAATGGTGTTGAGTATCTTCGCATGTGCTTATTTGCCATCCATACATGTTCTTTAGTAAATGGACTGTTTGTCTTTTGCCAACTTCTTAACTAGATTGTTGGTTCTCATTAAGTTTTGAGAAGTCTATATATTCTGAATATTAGTCCTTTATCAGATGTATGCTTTACAAATATTTTCTTCCAGTTTGGGCCTTCTCCTGTCATTCTCTTAATGTCTTCTGAAGAGCAATCCTTAATTTCCACAGCACCTAACTTAACAATCACTGTATTTTTTCAGACTATATGACGCGCCTCCCCTTCCCTTCAAATGGGGGGGTGCATCTTATAGTCCAAATGTAGCTTCACATTTACATTGGTGAAATATTATGTTATTTATGTTATTAAACATTTTACATTTTTCACTTCAAAATTTTTTTCCTTTTTTCATCCTCTAAAACCTAGGTGCGTCTTATGGTTCGAAAAATATGGTGCTTCTTGTGAACTGTGTCTTAGGTGTCATATTTTATTTTCGTAAATCTGTTTTCCTCTAGATCTTTTATAGTTTTAAGTTTTACATTTAGGTGTAATTCATTTTTAGTTGATTTTTATATGTGAGGTGAGATATTGCTCAAGATTTACTTTATTTTGTACCAATTATTCTAAATCATTTGTTCAAAAGACTATTCTTTCTCCATTGAATTGCTTTTGTACCTCTGTTGAAAGTCAATATTATACATACAGGTCTATTTTTGGACTCTGTTCTTTTCCACTGGCCTATTTTTCTATTTTTTTATCCCAATACCACACATTTATGATTGTTTTAGCTTTATTAAGAAGTCCTAAATTCAGGTAGCGTTAGACCTCCAACTTGGTTCTTTTTTAGTTGTTTTTGCCTATTCTAGGTTACTTGCATTTACACATGAATTTTAGAATCAACCTATTAACTCCTACAAAAAAAGCTAAAATTTTGATTGGAAGGTCCCAATTTTATAGACCAATTTAAGGAGAAATGATATCTTAATAAATATTGAGTCTTTTGACCTATGATCATAGTATTTTCCTCCACTCATTTAGGTCTTTAAATTCTCTCAGTAATGTTTTGCATTTTTCAGTGTACAAGTCTTGAACATCTCAGATTTATTCCTAAATGTTTCCCTTAATTTGGTGCTAT